CCTATCTCCATACCCATCCCCCATCCCATCCCAATCCCTATACCTTATATCCCATACCCTATACCTATCCCCATCCCCATTCCTATACCCCATCCCCATACCCCATATATATACCCATTCCGATACCCCATGCCATCCCCATATCCTATACCTATCCCCATCCCCATATCCCATCCCCCATACCTATCCCCATACCCATTCCTATACCCCATCCCATCCCCATACCCCATGCCATGCCTATCCCCATATGCCATACCCAAATCCCATCCCCATTCCTATACCCCATCCCATCCCCATATCCCATCCCCACCCCCCATATCCCATATCCCATCCCCCCCCATCCCTATACTCCATCTCATCCCCATATCCCATCACCATCCCCATCCTTATACCGCATGCCATCCCCATTCCTATACCCCATACCATCCCCATACCCCATTCCATCCCTATATCCCATCCCCATCCCCCATATCCCATCCCAATATTCCATCCCCATCCCTATACCCCATCCCATCCCCATCCCCCATTCCCATACCCCATCCCCATATCCCATCCCCATTCTTATACCGCATGCCATGCCATTACCTATATCCCATCCCCATCCCCCATATCCCATCCCCATACCCCATCTCCATCCCCCACATCCCATCCCCCATTCCCATCCCTATATCCCATCTCCATCCCCCATATCCCATCCCCCATCCCCATATTCCATCCCCATACCCCATATCCCCCCCATCCCCATACCCCATCCCCCATATCCCATATCCCTTACCCCATATCCCATCCCCATCCCCACCCCCCCCGCAGTGAAGGACGCCGACGGCGTGCTCTCCCGCTACAAGCGCATCCTGACCACGTTCCAGCGCCTGCAGAGCATGAGCCGCGCCTTCGCGCACCACCGCGTGGACCGCAACACCGTGGCGCTCACCACGCCCATCGCCGAGCTGCTCCTCGTGGCGCCCGAGAAGCTGGCCGAGGTGGGCGAGTTCGACCCCTCCAAGGAGCGCCTCCTCGAGTACTCGCGCCGCTGCTTCCTCGCCCTCGACCCCGCCACGCTCCAGAAGGTGCAGGCGCTCAAGAAGAGCAAACTCCTCCTGCCCATCACCTACCGCTTCAAGCGCTGAGCGCCCCGCGCGACACACACGGAAGGGACACAAACAGACCCAAGAGAGACACAAACGGACCCAAAATAGACACAAACGGACCCAAAATGGACACAAACGGACCCAAAATGGACACAAACGGACCCAAAATGGACACAAACGGACCCAAAAGAGACACAAACAGACCCAAAATAGACACAAACAGAGCCAAAACAGACACAGACCCAAAAGGGACAGAAACGGACACAAAATAGACACAAACGGACCCAAAATGGACACAAACGGACCCAAAATAGACACAAACAGAGCCAAAACAGACACAGACCCAAAAGGGACAGAAACGGACACAAAATAGACACAAACGGACCCAAAATGGACACAAACGGACCCAAAATAGACACAAACAGACCCAAAATAGACACAAACAGGGCCAAAATAGACACAAACGGACCCAAAATAGACACAGACCCAAAACAGACACAAACGGACCCGAAATGGACACAAACGGACCCAAAAGAGACACAAACGGACCCAAAAGAGACACAAACGGACCCAAAAGAGACACAAATAGGCCCAAACTGCTCCTGCCCATCACCTACCGCTTCAAGCGCTGAGCGCCCCGCGCGACACACACGAAAGGGACACAAACGGACCCAAAATGGACACAAACGGACCCAAAATGGACACAAACGGACCCAAAATGGACACAAACGGACCCAAAATGGACACAAACGGACCCAAAATGGACACAAACAGACCCAAAAGAGACACAAACGGACCCAAAAGGGACACAAACGGACCCAAAATGGACACAAATGGACCCAAAATGGACACAAATGGATCCAAAATAGACACAAACGGACCGAAAATGGACACAAACGGACCCAAAATAGACACAAACAGACCCAAAATAGACACACAGACCCAAAATAGACACAAACAGACCCAAAATAGACACAAACAGACCCAAAATAGACACAAACGGACCCAAAGGAGACACAAACGGACCCAAAATAGACGCAAACGGACCCAAAATAGACGCAAACGGACCCAAAATGGACACAAACGGACCCAAAATGGACACAAACGGACCCAAAATAGACACAAACAGACCCAAAATAGACACACAGACCCAAAATAGACACAAACAGACCCAAAATAGACACAAACAGACCCAAAATAGACACAAACGGACCCAAAGGAGACACAAACGGACCCAAAATAGACGCAAACGGACCCAAAATAGACGCAAACGGACCCAAAATGGACACAAACGGACCCAAAATGGACACAAACGGACCCAAAATAGACAAAACGGACCCAAAAAAGACACAGACGGACCCAAAACAGACACAGACCCAAAAGGGACAGAAACGGACCCAAAATAGACACAAACAGACCCAAAATGGACACAAACAGACCCAAAATAGACACAAACAGACCCAAAATAGACACACAGACCCAAAATAGACACACAGACCCAAAATAGACACAAACAGACACAAAATAGACACAAACGGACCCAAAGGAGACACAAACGGACCCAAAATGGACACAGACCCAAAAGGGACAGAAACGGACCCAAAATAGACACAGTCCCAAAACAGACACAGACCCAAAATAGACACAAACGGACCCAAAATAGACACAAACGGACCCAAAATGGACACAAACGGACCCAAAATGGACACAAACGGACCCAAAATGGACACAAACGGGCCCAAAAGGGACACAAACGGACCCAAAATGGACACAAACAGACCCAAAAGAGACACAAACGGACCCAAAAGGGACACAAACGGACCCAAAATGGACACAAATGGACCCAAAATGGACACAAATGGATCCAAAATAGACACAAACGGACCGAAAATGGACACAAACGGACCCAAAATAGACACAAACAGACCCAAAATAGACACACAGACCCAAAATAGACACAAACAGACCCAAAATAGACACAAACAGACCCAAAATAGACACAAACGGACCCAAAGGAGACACAAACGGACCCAAAATAGACGCAAACGGACCCAAAATAGACGCAAACGGACCCAAAATGGACACAAACGGACCCAAAATGGACACAAACGGACCCAAAATAGACACAAACAGACCCAAAATAGACACACAGACCCAAAATAGACACAAACAGACCCAAAATAGACACAAACAGACCCAAAATAGACACAAACGGACCCAAAGGAGACACAAACGGACCCAAAATAGACGCAAACGGACCCAAAATAGACACAAACGGACCCAAAATGGACACAAACGGACCCAAAATGGACACAAACGGACCCAAAATAGACAAAACGGACCCAAAAAAGACACAGACGGACCCAAAACAGACACAGACCCAAAAGGGACAGAAACGGACCCAAAATAGACACAAACAGACCCAAAATGGACACAAACAGACCCAAAATAGACACAAACAGACCCAAAATAGACACACAGACCCAAAATAGACACACAGACCCAAAATAGACACAAACAGACACAAAATAGACACAAACGGACCCAAAGGAGACACAAACGGACCCAAAATGGACACAGACCCAAAAGGGACAGAAACGGACCCAAAATAGACACAGACAGACCCAAAATGGACACAAACGGACCCAAAATAGACACAGTCCCAAAACAGACACAGACCCAAAATAGACACAAACGGACCCAAAATAGACACAAACGGACCCAAAGGAGACACAAACGGACCCAAAATGGACACAAACGGACCCAAAATGGACACAAACGGGCCCAAAAGGGACACAAACGGACCCAAAATGGACACAAACGGACCCAAAATGGACACAAACGGACCCAAAATAGACACAAACGGACCCAAAATAGACACAAACGGACCCAAAACAGACACAGACCCAAAAGGGCCAGAAACAGACCCAAAATAGACACAAACAGACCCAAAATAGAAACAAACAGACCCAAAATAGGCACAAACAGACCCAAAATAGACACAAACAGACCCAAAATAGACACAAACAGACCCAAAATGGACACAAACGGACCCAAAATGGACACAAACGGACCCAAAATAGACACAAACGGACCCAAACTCCTCCTGCCCATCACCTACAGCTTCAAGCGCTGAGCACCGCAATCCCAGAACAGACCCAAAAGAGACACAAACAGGCCCAAAAGAGACCAAAATAGACACAAACAGGCCCAAAATAGACACGAGCCCAAAATAGACACAAACGGACCCAAAATGGACACAAACAGGCCCAAAAGGGACACAAACAGACCCAAAAGGGACACAAATGGACCCAAAATGGACACAAACGGACCCAAAATAGACACAAACAGGCCCAAACTGCTCCTGCCCATCACCTACCGCTTCAAGCGCTGAGCGCCCCGCGCGACACACACGAAAGGGACACAAACAGACCCAAAATGGACACAAACGGACCCAAAATAGACACAAATGGACACAGACCCAAAATGGACACAAACGGACCCAAAATAGACACAAACAGACCCAAAAGTCACAAACGGACCCAAAATGGACACAAACCGGCCCAAAATAGACACAAACGGACCCGAAAGAGACACAAACGGACCCAAAAGAGACACAAACAGACCCAAAATAGACACAAACAGAACCAAAATAGAAACAAACAGACCCAAAATAGACACAAACGGACCCAAAATAGACACAAACGGACCCAAAATAGACACAAACGGACCCAAAATAGACACAGACCCAAAATAGACACAGACCCAAAATAGACACAGACCCAAAATGGACACAAACGGACCCAAAATGGACACAAACGGACCCAAAATAGACACAGTCCCAAAACAGACACAAACAGACCGAAAATAGACATAAACGGACCGAAAATAGACACAAACGGACCCAAAATAGACACAAACGGACCCAAACTCCTCCTGCCCATCACCTACCGCTTCAAGCGCTGAGCACGGCAACACCAGAACAGACCCAAAATAGACACAAACAGGCCCAAAATAGACACAAACAGGGCCAAAATAGACACAAACAGGGCCAAAATAGACACAAACGGACCCAAAATAGACACAGACCCAAAATAGACACAGACCCAAAATAGACACAGACCCAAAATAGACACAAACGGACCCAAAATGGACACAAACGGACCCAAAATGGACACAAACGGGCCCAAAATAGACACAAACGGACCCAAAATGGACACAAACGGACCCAAAATAGACAAAAACGGACCCAAAATGGACACAAACGGACCCAAAATGGACACAGTCCCAAAACAGACACAAACGGACCCAAAATAGACACGAACAGACCCAAAAGAGACACAAGCAGACCCAAAACAGACACAAACGGACCCAAAATAGACACAAACAGACCCAAAATAGACACAAACGGACCCAAAATAGACACAAACGGACCCAAACTCCTCCTGCCCATCACCTACCGCTTCAAGCGCTGAGCACCGCAATCCCAGAACAGACCCAAAATAGACACAAACAGGCCCAAAATGGACACAAACAGACCCAAAATGGACACAAACAGACCCAAAATGGACACAAACAGACCCCAAATAGACAAAGACCCAAAATAGACACAGACTCAAAAGGGACACAAACGGACCCAAAATTGACACAAACAGACACAAAATAGACACAAAGAGACCCAAAATAGACACAGACCCAAAATAGGCACAAACAGACCCAAAACCCCTCCAAATGACCCCAAAACCTGCCTGAGCCCCCCGCCCCCGGGACCCCTAACCCTGCCAGACCCCCCCAGGAGGGGGTGCAACCCGGAAAGCAGAAAACGGAGGTCAAAAACCACACAAAAAGGCGGAAAAACGGTCAATAAACGGTGAAAAACGGGCAAAACGCCTTGCTGGGGGGTCACGGGGGGTCAGGGGTCACGGCAACGGGTCAGGCGGGCGGAAAGAGCCGAAGTGGCCGCGGAAAGAGCCGAAGCGAGGGGGGCGGAAGGAGCCGAAGTTGCGCCGGAAAGAGCCGAAGCGAGGGGACCGGAAAGAGCCGAAGTTGCGCCGGAAAGAGCCGAAGCGAGGGGACCGGAAAGAGCCGAAGCGAGGGGACCGGAAAGAGCCGAAGTTGCGCCGGAAAGAGCCGAAGTGAGGGGACCGGAAAGAGCCGAAGCGAGGGGACCGGAAAGAGCCGAAGTTGTGCCGGAAAGAGCCGAAGTTGCGCCGGAAAGAGCCGAAGCGAGGGGACCGGAAAGAGCCGAAGTGAAGGGACCGGAAAGAGCCGAAGTTGCGCCGGAAAGAGCCGAAGCGAGGGGACCGGAAAGAGCCGAAGTCGCGCCGGAAAGAGCCGAAGTGAAGGGACCGGAAAGAGCCGAAGTGAAGGGACCGGAAAGAGCCGAAGTCGCGCCGGAAGGAGCCGAACCGGGTGTGTGTGGGGAGGCGGGCGGCCGGAAGCGGCCTCGTCGGACCCGGAGGCGCGGCCTAGGCCGTACGGAGCCTCCCAGGCAGCGCCCAACGGGAGGGGGAGCCGCGGTGCCGTGTCCGGTAACCGGAACCGGGGAGCGCCCCCCCCCCTTATCGGAAGTGGCGTAGCGGAAAGAGGCGGGGAGGAGCGTCGGGAAGAGCCGAGTGAGTTCGGCAAGGCCCGAGTGGTGTCGGAAAGAGCCGAAGGCGGCCGGAAGTTGCCGAGCGCGGGGCCGGAAGGGAGCGAGCGTTGCCGAGCGGGGGTCGGTGCCGCCGCGGCCTAGCGCGGGGTCGGAGCCGGGGACCGGGAGCCGAGGACCGGGGACCGGGGGGCGGGGCCGCCGTTAGCGCCTCCGCCATGTCGGACTTCGACGAGTTCGAGCGGCAGCTCAACGAGAACAAACAAGGTACCGGGACGGGCGGCCCCCGCCCCCCCCTTCCATGGGGGTACCGTGAGAGAGGGATGGGGGGAAGGGGCCTTCACCCCCCCCACCGATGTTGCCCTTCCCCCCCACCGCCCCCGTCTTGTTTTGGGGTGTTCGGGGGGGGACACCCCAATATGTGCCCCCCCCACCTCAATGTGGCCCTCATGTGACCCCTAATGTGACCCCCCATGTGACCCCCGTGCCCCTAGTTGCTCCCCCAATGTGCCCCCCCATACGCTCGTGTGCCCCCCAATGTGCCCCCCATACCCCCCATGTGCCCCCCAGTGTGCCCCCCATACCCCAATGTGGTCCTCATGTGACCCCCATGCCCCCAGTTGCTCCCCCAATGTCCCCCCATACCCCCGTGTGCCCCCCAATGTGCCCCCCATACCCCCCATGTGCCCCCCAATGTGCCCCCCATACCCCCCATGTGCCCCTCAATGTGCCCCCCATACCCCAATGTGGCCCTCATGTGACCCCCATGCCCCCAGTTGCTCCCCCAATGTGGCCCCCATACCCCCGTGTACCCCCAATGTGCCCCCCATGTGCCTCTCAATGTGCCCCCCATACCGCCGTGTGCCCCCCAATGTGCCCCCCATACCCCAATGTGGCCCTCATGTGACCCCCATGCCCCCACTTGCTCTCCCAATGTGCCCCCCATACCCCCGTGTGCCCCCCATACCCCCCATGTGCCCCTCAATGTGCCCCCCATACCCCCCATGTGCCCCTCAGTGTGCCCCCCATACCCCAATGTGGCCCTCATGTGACCCCCATGCCCCCAGTTGCTCCCCCAATGTGGCCCCCATACCCCCGTGTACCCCCAATGTGCCCCCCATGTGCCTCTCAATGTGCCCCCCATACCCCCGTGTGCCCCCCAATGTGCCCCCCATACCCCAATGTGGCCCTCATGTGACCCCCATGCCCCCACTTGCTCTCCCAATGTGCCCCCCATACCCCCGTGTGCCCCCCAATGTGCCCCCCATACCCCCCATGTGCCCCTCAATGTGCCCCCCATACCCCCCATGTGCCCCTCAGTGTGCCCCCCATACCCCAATGTGGCCCTCATGTGACCCCCATACCCCCAGTTGCTCCCCCAATGTGGCCCCCATACCCCCGTGTACCCCCATTGTGCCCCCCATACCCCCCATGTGCCTCTCAATGTGCCCCCCATACCCCCGTGTGCCCCCCAATGTGCCCCCCATACCCCAATGTGGCCCTCATGTGACCCCCATGCCCCCAGTTGCTCCCCCAATGTGCCCCCCATACCCTCGTGTGCCCCGTAATGTGCCCCCCTGTGCCCCCCAGTGTGCCCCCCATCCCCCAATGTGGCCCTCATGTGACCCCTAATGTGCCCCCCCATTTACCCCACTTGCCCCCCAACCTCAGTGTACCCCACATATCTCCTGATGTGCTCTCCATATCTCTATGTGCCCCCCATGTGACCCCTAATATGCCCCCCCATGTGACCCCCATGCCCCCAGTTGCTCCCCCAATGTAACCCCATGTGCCCCCCACTGCACCCCCCATACCCCAATGTGCCCTAATATACCCCCCTGTGCCCCCCAATGTAACCCCATACCCCAATGTAACCCTCATGTGACCCCCTAAGGTGCCCCCCCATTTACCCCCCTGTGCCCCCATCCCCAATGTACCCCCCATATCCCTATGTGCCCCCCCATACCCCAGTGTGCCCCCATGTGACTCCTATGCCCCCAGTTGCTCCCCCAATGTGCCCCCCATACCCCCCATGTGCCCCCCACTGTACCCCCATACCCCAATGTGCCCCCCGATATACCCCCATGTCCCCCATACCCCCATATACCCCCCTAATGTGCCCCCATACCCCCATGTGTCCCACACTGTGCCCCCATACCCCAATGTACTCTCCCATCCCAATGTGCCCCCCATATGCCCCCCAATGTACCCCCCATACCCCAGTGTGCTCCCCCATGTGCCCCCCCGTACCCCCATGTGTCCCCCCAATGTAGCTCCCCATACTCTCATGTGCCCCCCAATATGTCTCCCCCTACCCCAATGTGCCCCCCATCCCCAGTGTGCCCCTCATACCCCCATATGCCCCCAATGTCCCCCCCCATACCCCAGTGTGCTCCCCATGTGCCCCCCCAAATGTGCCGCCATACCCCCATGTGTCCCCTCAGCGTGCCCCCCATACCCCCCATGTGTCCTTTAATGCCCCCCCAATATGCCCCCATACCCCCATGTGCCCCTGAATGTGCACCCCCAAATGTGCCCTCGTACCCTCATGTGCCCCTTAATGTGCCCCCCCAGTGTGCCCCCTATACTCCCCCATGTACTCCTTAATGTGCCCCCCCAAATGTGACCCCATACCCCAATGTGCCCCCCATGTGCCCCTTAATGTGCCCCCCCAGTGTGCCCCCTATACTCCCCCATGTACTCCTTAATGTGCCCCCCCAAATGTGACCCCATACCCCAATGTGCCCCCCATGTGCCCCTTAATGTGCACCCCCAAATGTGACCCCATACCCCAATGTGCCACCCAGGTGCCCCTTAATGTGCCCCCCCAAATGTGACCCTATACCCTAATGTGCCCTCCCAGTGTGCCCCCTATACCCCACATGTGCCCCTGAATGTGCACCCCCAATGTGACCCCATACCCCCATGTGCCCCCCCAGTGTGCCCCCTATACCCCCCATGTACCCCTTAATGTGCCCCCCTCAGTGTGACCCCATACCCCCATGTGCCCCCCAATGTGAACCCCATACCCCCCCATGTACCCCTTAATGTGCCCCCCAGTGTGCCCACCATACCCCCATGTGCCCCACCCCAAACGTGACCCCATACCCCCATGTGCCCCCCATACCCCCCCATGTGCCCCTTAATGCGCCCCCAAATGTGCCCCCATGCCCCCATGTGCCCCCTCCAATGTGACCCCTTACCCCCATGTGCCCCCCCAGTGTGCCCCCCATACCCCCATGTGCCCCCCCACTGTGACCCCTTACCCCCATGTGCCCCCACAGTGTGCCCCCCATACCCCCAATGTGCCCCCCCAGTGTGACCCCTTACCCCCATGTCCCCCCCCATACCCCCATGTCCCCCCCCAATGTGCCCCCATACCCCCATGTCCCCCCCAATGTGCCCCCCTTACCCCCATGTGCCCCCCATACCCCCATGTGCCCCCAGAATGTGCCCCCCCTTAGGCCCGTGTCCCCCCCCAATGTGCCCCCCTTACCCCCATGTCCCCCCCAAATGTGCCCCCCCTTACGCCCGTGTCCCCCCCCAATGTGCCCCTGTACCCCCATGTACCCCCCAAGAAGCTGACCCCCCCCGATGCTGACCCTATGGGGGGGTTCCCATTGTGTGTGTGTGTATTGGGGTGCTCCTGACCCCCCCTTTCCCCCCCCCATAGAGCGGGACAAGGAGAACCGGCACCGCAAGCGCAGCCACAGCCGCTCCCGGAGCCGGGACCGGAAGCGCCGGAGCCGGAGCCGGGATCGCCGCAACCGGGATCAACGCAGCGTGTCCCGGGACCGCCGGCGGCGCCGGTACCGACCCCCCCCCCCCAAACCAGGGACCCCCCCCCCACCCCCCCAACCCCCATCCCTGCAGTAACCGGGGGTCCTGTCCCCCCACAGGTCACCCCTGAGCCTCTCGGGCCCCTTGAGGTGAGTGGGGGGGGGGGGGGGTGAGGGGAGGGGAAGGGGGAGACCCCCCCCAAATCACTTCTATTGCCCCCCGACACCCCTTTATTGCCCCCCAACATCCCTTTATTGCCCCCGACACCCCTTTATTGCCCTCCGACACCCCTTTATTGCCCTCCGACACCCCTTTATTGCCCCCGACACCCCTTTATTGCCCCCGACACCCCTTTCTTGCCCCCCGACACCCCTTTCTTGCCCCCCGACACCCCTTTCTTGCCCCCCGACACCCCCTTTCTTGCCCCCCGACACCCCCTTTATTGCCCCCAACACCCCTTTATTGCCCCCAACACGTTTTATTGTACCCAAGCTCTTCTATTGCCGACACCCCTTTATAGCCCCCCAACAACCCTTTATTGCCCCCCGACACCCCTTTATAGCCCCCCAACAACCCTTTATTGCCCCCCAACACTTCTTTATTGCACCCAAACTCTTCTATTGCCCCCCCCACACCCCTTTCTTCCCCCCTGACACCCCTTTATTGCCCCCCAACACTTCTTTATTGCACCCAAGCTCTTGTATTGCCCCCCCAACACCCCTTTCTTGCCCCCCCAACACCCCTTTATTGCCCCCGACACCCCTTTATTGCCCCCCAACACCCTTTTATTGCCCCCAAGCTCTTCTGTTGCCCTCAACCCCCCCCTTATTGCCCATCAACCCTTTTTATTGCCCCCAAACAACCTCCTGTTGCCCCAAAACCCTCCTTATTGCCCCCAAACCTCTCCCATTGCCCCCCCCCCCCCCCCCCCCAATCTCTCCTATTGCCCCCAAGTCCTGCTTACTGTCCCTAACCCCCAAGGCCTAATATTGACCCCAACCCCCTTCTTATTGCTCCTATTACCCCCCAACTCCTCCCCTATATCCCCCCATAACCCCTCTGTACCCCCCAAACCATCCCACTCGCCCCCCCTCTTTTGCCCCCCCCCAGAAGCTGCATGCAGGGGGGTCCCCATCGGCACTGGGGGACAAGTGGGGGGTGTCCCCCCCCTTTTCCTCACCCCTCACCCCTCTCTTCTCCCCCCCCCCCCCCCAGCCGCTCCCCCAGGCACGAGAAGAAGAAGAAGATCCGCAAATACTGGGACGTGCCCCCCCCGGGCTTCGAGCACATCACCCCCATGCAGTACAAAGCCATGCAAGGTACCCGAAACACCCCCAAATCACCCCAAAACCACCCTGAAACACCCCAAAACTACCCTGAAACAACCATTGCAAACCCCCCCCAATTGCAAACCGTCCCCCCATTATATCCCCCCATTGCAAACACCCCCATTGTACCCCCCATTGCAAACCGTCCCCCCATTGCAAACCCCCCCTATTGCAAACCCCCCCATTGTTCCCCCCCATTGCAAACTCCCCCAATTGCACACCCCCCCATTGTTCCCCCCCATTGTTCCCCCCCATTGTTCCCCCCCATTGTTCCCCCCCATTGTTCCTCCCCATTGCAAACCCCCCCCATTGTTGCCCCCCGTTGCAAACCCCCCCCATTGTTCCCCCCCATTGTTCCCCCCCATTGTGCCCCCCCATTGTGCCCCCCCATTGTTCCCCCCGTTGCAAACCCCCCCCATTGTTCCCCCCCATTGCAAACCCCCCCCATTGTGCCCCCCCATTGCAAACCCCCCCCATTGTGACCCCCATTGCAAACCCCCCGCATTGCAACCCCCCCCATTGTTCCCCCCCATTGCAAACCCCCCCATTGTTCCCCCCCATTGCAAACTCCCCCAATTGCACCCCCCCATTGTTCCCCCCCCATTGTTCCCCCCCATTGTTCCTCCCCATTGCAAACCCCCCCCATTGTTCCCCCCCCATTGCAACCCCCCCATTGTTCCCCCCCATTGCAAACCCCCCCCATTGTTCCCCCCCATTGTTCCCCCCCATTGTTCCCCCCCCATTGTTCCTCCCCATTGCAAACCCCCCCATTGTTGCCCCCCATTGTTGCCCCCCATTGCAAACCCCCCCATTGTGCCCCCCCATTGTTCCCCCCCATTGCAAACCCCCCCATTGTGCCCCCCCATTGCAAACCCCCCCCCATTGTTCCCCCCCATTGCAAACCCCCCCCGTTGTCCCCCCCCATTGCAAACCCCCCCCATTGTTCCCCCCCACTGCAACTCCCCCCATTTCAACCCCCCCCATTGTCCCCCCCCATTGTCCCCCCCATTGCAAAACCTCCCCCATTGTTCCCTCCATTTCCCCCCCCCCATTGTTCCCCCCCATTGCAACCCCCCCCATTGTTCCCTCCCCATTGCAAACCCCCTCGCCCCCCATTGTACCCCCCCACTGTAACCCCCCCTCCCTTGGCAGCGGCGGGGCAGATCCCGGCCACGGCTCTGCTGCCCACCATGACCCCGGACGGGCTCGCCGTGACCCCCACCCCTGTGCCCGTGGTGGGGAGCCAGATGACGCGCCAGGCCCGGCGCCTCTACGTGGGCAACATCCCCTTCGGCATCACCGAGGTGGGGCGAGGGGGGAAATGGGGGTTTGGGAGGGGGAAATAGGGGTTTTGAGGGGGGAAATGGGGGTTTTGAGGGGGGGAAATGGGGGTTTGGGAGGGGAAAATGGGGGTTTTGAGGGGGGAAATGGGGGTTTTGAGGGGGGAAATGGGGGTTTGGGAGGGGAAAATGGGGGTGTTGAGGGGGGAAATGGGGGTGTTGAGGGGGGAAATGGAGGTTTTGAGGGGGGAAAGGGGGTTTTGGGAGGGGGAAATGGGGGTTTGGGAGGGGGAAATGGGGGTTTGGGAGGGGAAAATGGGGGTTTTGAGGGGGGAAATGGGGGTTTTGGGGGAGGGGAAATAGGGGTTTGGGAGGGGAAAATGGGGGTTTTGAGGGGGGAAATGGGGGTTTGGGGGGGGGAAATGGGGGTTTGGGAGGGGGAAATGGGGGTTTTGAGGGGGGAAATGGGGGTTTGGGAGGGGAAAATGGGGGTTTGGGGAGGGGGAAATGGGGTTTGGGGAGGGGGAAATGGGGGTTTTGAGGGGGGAAATGGGGGTTTGGGGGGGGAATGGGGGTTTTGAGTGGGGAAATGGGGGTTTTGAGTGGGGAAATGGGGGTTTTGGGGGGAAATGGGGGTTTGGGAGGGGGAAATGGGGTTTTGTTAGGGGGAAATGGTGGTTTTGGTGTGGGAAATGGGGTTTGGGAGGGGGAAATGGGGGTTTTGAGGGGGGAAATGGGGGTTTGGGGGGGGAATGGGGGTTTTGAGTGGGGAAATGGGGGTTTTGAGTGGGGAAATGGGGGTTTTGGGGGGAAATGGGGGTTTGGGAGGGGGAAATGGGGTTTTGTTAGGGGGAAATGGTGGTTTTGGTGTGGGAAATGGGGTTTGGGAGGGGGAAATGGGGGTTTTGAGGGTGGAAAATGGGGTTTGGGGAGGGGGAAATGGGGTTTGGGGAGGGGGAAATGGGGGTTTTGAGGGGGGAAAGGGGGTTTTGGGAGGGGGAAAGGGGGGTTTGGGGGGGGAAATGGGGGTTTTGGGGGGGGAATGGGGTTTGGGGAGGGGGAAATGGGGGTTTTGAGGGGGGAAAGGGGGTTTTGAGGGGGGAAAGGGGGTTTTGGGAGGGGGAAAGGGGGGTTTGGGGGGAAATGGGGGTTTTGAGGGGGGAATTGGGGGTTTGAGGGAGGGGAAATGGGGGTTTTGAGGAGGGGAAATGGGGTTTTGGGAGGGGAAATGAGTTTTTTGTGGAGGAGAATGGTTTTTTTGGGGGGAAATGGGGGTTTGGAGGCGAAACAGGGTTTAGAGGGTGGAAAGGGGAGTTTTGGGGAGTGGACATGTTTTTTTTTGGGGGGGAATGTTTTTTTTGGGGGGAAATGGGATTTTGGGGAGGGGAAATTTTTTTTTTGGGGGGGAAATGGGATTTTGGGGGGGTAATGGGGGTTTTTGGGGTCTCCGTTCCCGGCGCCCATTGCCATTGTCCCCCCTGCAGGAGGCCATGATGGACTTCTTCAACGCCCAGATGCGCCTGGGGGGGCTGACGCAGGCCCCCGGCAACCCCGTCCTGGCTGTGCAGATCAACCAGGACAAGAACTTCGCCTTCCTGGAGGTACCCCCGGCTCCCTCCCACCCCGTGGGGGGGGTTTGGATCCCCTGATATAAGGGGACCCCCCCCACTTTGTGGTTCTTTCCCCCTCGGCAGTTCCGCTCTGTGGATGAGACCACGCAGGCCATGGCTTTCGATGGGATCATTTTCCAAGGGCAGTCGCTGAAGATCCGGCGGCCCCACGATTACCAACCGCTGCCTGGGATGTCCGAGAACCCCTCGGTCTACGTGCCCGGTGAGGGGGGGGCTGAAGCACCCCCAAAACCACCCTGAAACGCCCCCAAACACTGAAAAACGCCCTGAAACGTCCCAAAACCACCCTGAAACGCCTCAAAACCACTGAAAAACACCCTGAAACGTCCCAAAACCACTGAAAAACACCCTTAAATGTCCCCAAACCACCCTGAAACGCCCCTAAAACCCTGAAAAACGCCCTGAAATGTCCCAAAACCACCCTGAAACGCCCCCAAAACCCTGAAAAACACCCTGAAACGTCCCAAAACCACCCAAAAACACCCTTAAATGTCCCAAAACCACCCTGAAATGCCCCCAAAACCCTGAAAAACGCCCTGAAACGTCCCAAAACCACCCTGAAACGCCCCCAAAACCCTGAAAAACACCCTGAAACGTCCCAAAACCACCCTGAAACGCCCCAAAACCCTGAAAAACGCCCTGAAACACCCCCAAACCATCCTGAAATGCCCACAAATCACTGAAAATCGCCCTGAAACGCCCCTAAAACACTGAAAAACGCCCTGAAACATCCCAAAACCACCCTGAAATGCCCCAAAACAACTGAAAAACGCCCTGAAATGCCCCAAAACGCACCCGAAACACAGAAAAACGCCCTGAAACGTCCCTAAAACCACCTTGAAACACCCCAAATACACTGAAAAATGCCCTGACATGTCCCAAAACCACCCTGAAACGCCCCCAAAACCCTGAAAAACGCCCTGAAACGTCCCAAAACCACCCTGAAACGCCCCCAAAACCCTGAAAAACACCCTGAAACGTCCCAAAACCACTGAAAAACACCCTTAAATGTCCCAAAACCACCCTGAAATGCCCCCAAAACCCTGAAAAACGCCCTGAAACGTCCCAAAACCACCCTGAAACGCCCCCAAAACCCTGAAAAACACCCTGAAACGTCCCAAAACCACCCTGAAACGCCCCAAAACGCTGAAAAACGCCCTGAAACATCCCCAAACCATCCTGAAATGCCCACAAATCACTGAAAATCGCCCTGAAACGCCCCTAAAACACTGAAAAACGCCCTGAAACATCCCAAAACCACCCTGAAATGCCCCCAAAACAACTGAAAAACGCCCTGAAATGCCCCAAAAACGCACCTGAAACACAGAACAACGCCCTGAAACGTCCCTAAAACCACCTTGAAACACCCCAAATACACTGAAAAATGCCCTGACATGTCCTAAAACCACCCTGAAACGCCCCCAAAACCCTGAAAAACGCCCTGAAACGTCTCAAAACCACCCTGAAATGACCCCAAAACACTGAAGAATGCTCTGAAATGCCCCAAAACGCCCCAAAACACTGAAAAACACCCTGAAATGCCCCGAAAACAACCTTGAAACACCCCCAAAACACTGACAAACACCTTGAAATGCCCCGAAAAACACCGTAAAATGCCCCAAAACTCCCCCAAAATGCCCTAAAATGCCCCCAAACCCACCCTGAAACGCCCCAAAACAACTCTAAAACAACCCTGAACCAGCCTGAAAAGACAAAAAAATGACCTGAAAACCACCCTGAAACGCCCCGAAACGTCCCAAAAACACCAAAAACGCCCCGAAAATGACCCCGAAACTTCCCAAAACGCCCCCAAAACCACCCTGAAAATCACCATTGAAACGCCCCTAAACGCCCTGAAAACCTCCCTGAAACGCCCCCAAAACCACCCTGAAATGCTCCAAAAACACTGAAAACACTGAAAAACACCCTGAAATGCCGCAAAACGCTCTGAAACACCCCGAAAACACCAAAAAAATGCCCCCAAACCCACCCTGAAATGCCCCCAAATGCATCAAAACCACCCTGAAATGCCCTAAAACGCCCTGAAAAAACCAAAACCGCCCCCCAAATGACCCTGAAACACCTCCAAACCACCCAAATCCATCCCCAAACCACCCTGAAACACCCCAAAATACCTTGAAACACCCCAAAATGCCCCTGAAACACCCCAAAATACCCCTGAAGCACCCCCAAAACCCTCCAAACGCTGCCCGGGATGACCAAGAGCCCCATGTGCTGGGTGAGGAGGGCCTGAAACACCCAAAACACCCTTGAAACACCCCAAACCCACCCTAAAACACCTCGAAACACCCCTGAACACCCCAAAACCACTCTGAAACACGCTAAAACACCTCAAAACACCCCGAAACCACTCTGAAACACTCCCAAACACCCCAAAACCACCCTAAAACGCCTCAAAACACCTCGAAACCACTCTGAAACACCCTAAAACACCTCAAAACACCCCAAAACCACTCTGAAACCCCCTAAACCACCTCGAAACACCCTGAAACCACTCTAAAGCACCCTAAACCACCTCGAAACATCCCTGAACACCCCGAAACCACCCTAAAACACATCGAAACACCCCAAAACCACTCTAAAACGCCGTGGAACACCCTGAAACCACCCCAGAACCACCCCAGAACACCCTAAACCACCTCAGATCACCCCAAAACCAACCCTAAACCACCCCAAAACCCACCCTAAACACCTAACTCCCCCCCAAAGCACCCCTAAACACCCGCAAACGCCTACAGAACACCCCTGGAACACCCTCAAAACGCCCTGAAACACCCCAAACTGTTCCAAAACACCCCCAAAAGGCCCCCAAACCACCCCGAAACAACCCTGAAACACCCAAAACCACCCCAAAGGCCCCCCAAAACCCCTTTGTTCTCACCCCCGTGTCCCCCCCCAATGCAGGTGTTGTCTCCACCGTGGTCCCCGACTCCGCTCACAAGCTCTTCATCGGGGGTCTCCCCAATTACCTGAACGATGACCAGGTAAGGGGGGGGGCCCCAACACCCCAAAAATGGGGGGGACCCCCCAGTCCCACCTCCCGAACTTGGGGTCCCCATGGGATGGGGTGGGAATGGGTGGTGATGGTGATGGTTGGGGGGGGGTTCCTCGTTCCGTGGGGGTGGGGGAGTGTCCCTGGTGCCAAGGGGGGGTCCCAAAGGTTTTGGGGTGTCCCCCCCCCAGGTGAAGGAGCTGCTGACGTCCTTTGGGCCCCTCAAAGCCTTCAACCTGGTGAAGGACAGCGCCACCGGGCTCTCCAAGGGGTACGCGTTCTGCGAGTACGTGGACATCAACGTCACCGACCAGGTACCCCAAAAACACCCCGAAGGCACCCCAAACCAGCCCCAAAACTAACCCAAAACACCCCGAAAACAACCCAAAACACCCCAAAACTAACCCAAAACAGCTCAAAACACCCCAAAACCACCCCTAAAGCAACCCAAAACACCCCAAAACTAACCAAAACCAGCCCAAAACACCCCAAAACCACCCTGAAAGCAACCCAAAACACCCCAAAACTGACCCAAAACACCCTGACACTAACCCAAAACACCCCAAAAACACCCAAAAAGCACCCCAAAACAACCCAAAACATCCTGAAACCAACCCAAAACACCCCGAAACCAACCCAAAACACCCCAAAACCAACCCAAAACAGCCTGAAACCAACTCCAAAACCACCCCAAAACACCTCAAAAACAACTCAAAACACCCTAAATTCCCTCAAGAGATCCCCCAAACCACCCTAAAACACCTAGAAACAACCCTCAAACACCTGAAACAGCTCCAGAACACGCCAAAACCAACCCCAAAACACCTCAAGAGAACACCGAAACCGCCCCAAAACACCTTAAGAAAACCCCAAACCCAACCCAAAACACCTCAAGTGACCCCCCAAACCCCTGAAAAAGCCCCCGAACAACTCACAAACACCCCAGGATACCCTAAAACACCTCAAGAGAACCCCAAAACCAGCCCCAAACAACCCCCACACAACCCAGAACACATCAAAACACCTCACAAACCCCCCAGAACACCCCAGAACACCCCAAAACACCTCAAGAGAACCCCCAAACCACCCCAACACACCTCAAGAAAAGCCTGAAACAGCCCTAAAACACCTCACAAAGTCCAGAACACCCCAAAACCAACCCAAAACACCCTGAAACACCTCAAGAGAACCCCCAAAACACCTCACAAACACCCCAGAAAACCCCAAAACACCTCAAGAGAACCCCGAAACAGTCCCGAAACACCTCACAAACACGCCAAAACCAGCCCAAAACACCCCAAAACACCTCACGTGAACCCCAAAACCACCCCAAAGCAACCCAGAAACACCCCACAACACCCAAAACAGCCCCTGGGACCCCAAAACACCCCCTTTGGGCCCCAAACCCCCACCTGGGACCCCAAAACACCAAAAACCACCCCATGGGACCCTCAAGATACCCCCAGGATCTTCAAACACCCTATGTGGACCCCAAAACACCCATTAGAGCCCCCAAAACACCCCTTGGGACCCCAAACCCCCCCATGGGGACCCCAAAAGCAGGCACTGGGGACCCCAAAACCCCCATTGGGACCCCAACCGCCCCCATGGGGACCCCCAAAACACCCATTGGGGACCCCAAAAACACCCATTGGGACCCCAACCCCCCCCTTGGGACCCCAAAACACCCATTAGAGCACCCAACCCTCCCCATGGGGACCTGAAAACACCCACTGGGGACCTGAACCCTCCCGCCCAGGGACCCCAAAATCACCCCTGAGGACCCAAATCACTCATCGGGGACCACAAAACACCCATTAGACCCCCCAAAACCCCCCTTGGGACCCCGGAACATCCTTTGGGACCCAAAAAGCACCCATTGTTGACCCCAAAACACCAAATAGAACCCCCAAAACACGCCTTGGGACCCCAAAATCCTCTCTGGGGAACCCAAAACCCCCCTTGGGACCCCAAAACACCAGTTAAGAGACCCCCAAGCCCCCCATAGGGACTCCAAAATCCCCCATGGGGACCCCAAAACCCCCCAAGGGGACCCCACCCCCCCCGGGGACCCCAAAACCCTCCGTGGGGACCCCAAACCCCCCTTGGGGACCCCAAAACCCCCCATGGGGACCCCAGAAACACACATTGGGGACCCCAAAACCCAACCTGGGACCCCAAAATCCCCCTTGGGACCTCAAAATCCCCCGTGGGGACCCCAGAAACTTGCATTGGGGCCCCCAAAACCCAACCTGGGACCCCAAAATCCCCCTTGGGACCTCAAAATCCCCCGTGGGGACCCCAGAAACTTGCATTGGGGCCCCCAAAAACCAACCTGGGACCCCAAAACACCACAATGGACCCCAACCCCCCCCTCAAATGGTGTTGGTGACCCCCCCTTTCCATGCCCCCCCCCCAGGCCATCGCGGGGCTCAATGGGATGCAGTTGGGGGACAAGAAGCTCCTGGTGCAAAGGGCCAGTGTGGGGGCCAAGAACGCCACCCTGGTGAGTGGGGGGGGGCACACTTGGGGTGACCCCCCCATTATGGGGGGGGCACTTTGGGGGTGTCAGAGGGTCCTATTTTGGGGGGGGTATCCCCTGTTTGGGGTCCTATTGGATGGCGGGGGGGGGAGTCCTGTGGGACCGCCTTGGTTGTGTCCTATGGGGTTTGGGGGTACCCAGGTCCTGGTTTGGGGGTGGGATTGGGGATTTAGGGTCACTGGGGGGGGGGGGGTATCCCTGGTGTTGGTGGGAATGGGGAGGGCTTGGCCATAGGGCCCTATGGATGGGGGTAGCCAGCATTCCCAACCCTCTTGGGGGTGGGGGGAGTGATGCCAGTAGGGATGTGGGTGGGATCTGGTCCCATTTAACAGGGTTTGGGTGCTATTGGGTCCTATAATAGGGTTTGGGTCTGATTTAACAGGGTTTGGGTGCTGTTGGGTCCTATAATAGGGTTTGGGTCTGATTTAACAGGGCTTGGGTGCTGTTGGGTCCTATAATAGGGTTTGGGTCTGATTTAACAAGGTTTGGGTGCTATTGGGTCCTATAATAGGGGTTGGGTCTGATTTAGCAGGGTTTGGGTTCTGTTGGGTCCTATAATAGGGTTTGGGTCTGATTTAACAGGATTTGGGTGCTGTTGGGTCCTATAATAGGGTTGGGTGCTATATGGTCCTGTTTAATAGGTTTTGGGTCTGATTTAACAGGGTTTGGGTGCTGTTGGGTCCTATAATAGGGTTTGGGTCTGATTTAACATGGTTTGGGTGCTGTTGGGTCCTGTTTAATAGGGTTTGGGTCTGATTTAACAGGGTTTGGGTTCTATTGGTTCCCATAATAGGGTTTGGGTCTGATTTAACAGGGCTTGGGTGCTTTTGGCCCCTATAATAGGGTTTGGGTCTGATTTAACAGGGTTTGGGTGCTACTGGGTCCTATAATAGGGCTTGGGTCTGATTTAACAGGGTTTGGGTCCTATAATAGGGTTTGGGTCTGATTTAACAGGGTTTGGGTACTATTGGGTCCTATAATAGGGTTGGGTGCTATTGGGTCCTGTTTAATAGGTTTTGGGTCTGATTTAACAGGGTTTGGGTGCTGTTGGGTCCTGTTTAATAGGGTTTGGGTCTGATTTAACAGGGTTTGGGTTCTATTGGTTCCCATAATAGGGTTTGGGTCTGATTTAACAGGGCTTGGGTGCTTTTGGGCCCTATAATAGGGTTTGGGTCTGATTTAACAGGATTTGGGTGCTACTGGGTCCTATAATAGGGTTTGGGTCTGATTTAACAGGGTTTGGGTGCTGTTGGGTCCTGTTTAATAGGGTTTGGGTCTGATTTAGCAGGGTTTGGGTTCTGTTGGGTCCTATAATAGGGTTTGGGTCTGATTTAACGGGGTTTGGGTTCTGTTGGGTCCTATAATAGTGTTTGGGTCTGATTTAACAGGGTTTGGGTGCTATTGGGTCCTATAATAGGGTTTGGGTCTGATTTAACAGGATTTGGGTGCTGTTGGGTCCTATAATAGGGTTTGGGTCTGATTTAACAGGGTTTGGGTACTATTGGGTGCTGTAACAGGGTTTGGGTGCTATTGGTCCTATTTAATAGGGTTTGGGTCTGATTTAACAGGTTTTGGGTGCTATTGGGTCCTATAATAGGGTTTGGGTCTGATTTAGCAGGGTTTGGGTGCTATTGGGTCCTATAATAGGGTTTGGGTCTGATTTAGCAGGGTTTGGGTGCTTTTGGGTCCTATTTAATAGGGTTTGGGTGCTTCTTGCTCTCGTTTAATGGGATTTGGGTCCCGTTTAATGTGGATTGGGTCCCATTTAACGGGGTTTGGGTCCCATTTAATGGGGTCTAGGTACTCTTGGGTTCCATTTAACGGGGTTTGGTTCCCATTTAACAAGGTTTGGGTGCTGTTGGGTTCCATTTAATGGGGTTTGGGTCCCATTTAACATGGTTTGGTTCCCATATAATGGGGTTTAGGTGCTATTGGGTCCCATTTAATGGGGTTTGGGTCCCATTTAATGGGGTTTGGATGCTATTGGGCTCCATTTATCAGGGTTTGGGTCCCATTTAACGGGGTTTGGGTCCCATTTAATGGGGTTTGGGTGCAGTCTGGTGTCTCCCCACCCCCTTGGGGCCAGGTAGCTCAGGAGAGTGCAGTGGTGTCTATGGGGTGCATTAGTGTCTATGGGGGTACATTGGTGTATGGGGGGGTGCATTGGTGTGTATGGGTACATTGGTGTGTATGGGGGTGCATTGGTCTATGGGGGGGTGCATTGGTGTGTATGGAGGATGCACTGGTGTCTATGGGGGTGCATTGCTGTGTATGGGGGTGCATTGCTGTCTATGGGGCACAGTCATTCCTAGGGGTGCGTTGGTGTCTGGGGGGGTGCATTGGTGTCTATGGGGGGTGCATTGGTGTCTATGGGGTACATTGGTGTGTATGGAGGATGCATTGGTGTCTATGGGGGTGCATTGGTGTGTATGGGGCGCAGTCATTCCTAGGGGTGCATCGGTGTCTATGGGGGGTGCTTTGGTGTCTATGGGGGGTGCGTTGGTGTCTATGGGGGGTGCGTTGGTGTCTATGGGTGCAGTGGTTCCTAGGGGTCCATTGGTGTCTATAGGGGGCGCATTGGTGTCTATGGGGCACACTGGTGTCTATGGGGGTGCATTGCTGTGTATGGGGCACAGTCATTCCTAGGGGTGCATTGGTGTCTATGGGGGGTGCTTTGGTGTCTATGGGGGGTGCGTTGGTGTCTATAGGGGGCGCATTGGTGTCTATGGGGGTGCATTGGTGTGTATGGAGTGCAGTCATTCCTAGGGGTGCGTTGGTGTCTATGGGGTGCACTGGTGTCTATGGGGCATGGTCATTCCTAGGGGTGCATTGGTGTCTGTGGGGGTGCATTGGTGCCTATGGGGTGCATCGGTGTCTATGGGGCACAGTGATGTTTATGGAGTGCATTGGTGTCTATGGGACACAGTGGAGTGGTGTGTACGGGAGTACATTGGTGTCTATGGGGGTGCAGTGGTATCTATGGGGTGCAGTGGTATCTATGCGGTGCAGTGGTGTGCATGGGGGTACATTGGTGTCTGTGGGGGTGCATTGGTGCCTATGGGGTACATTGGTGTCTGTGGGGATGCATTGGTGTCTATGGGGGTGCATTGGTACCTATGGGGTACATTGGTATCTATGGGGTGGAGCAGTGTCTAAGGGGCACAGTGGTGTCTATGGGGTACATTGGTATCTATGGGGCGGAGCAGTGTCTAAGGGGCACAGTGGTGTCTATGGGGTACATTGGTATCTATGGGGGTGCATTGGTGTCTATGGGGTACATTGGTGTGTATGGGGGTGCATTGGTGTCTATGGGGCGCAGTGGTGTCTATGGGGTACATTGGTATCTATGGGCCGGAGCAGCGTCTCTGGGGCACAGTGGTGTCTATGGGGTACATTGGTACCTATGGGGGTGCATTGGTGTCTATGGGGTAAATTGATGTGTATGGGGGTGCATTGGTGTCTATGGGGCGCAGTGGTGTCTATGGGGTACATTGGTATCTATGGGCCGGAGCAGCGTCTCTGGGGCACAGTGGTGTCTGTGGGGTACATTGGTATCTATGGGGGTGCATTGGTGTCTATGGGGTAAATTGATGTGTATGGGGGTACACTGGTATCTATGGGGTACGTTGGTATCTATGGGGCGGAGCAGTGTCTGTGGGGGTGCATTGATGTCTGTGGGGTCCATTGGCATCTATGGGGGTGCATTGATGTCTATGGGGTACATTGGCATCTATGGGGGTGCATTGATGTCTGTGGGGTGCAGTGGTATTTATGGGGTACATTGGCATCTATGGGGTGCATTGGTGTCTATGGGGCACAATGGTGTCTGTGGGTTGCATTGGTACCT